AGATGCTAAAGAGTACTGGGCCTAAGACGCAACCTTACGGTATCCCACTACATGCCTCCATTTAGATATAGTTCCATTGAGGACTACTTGTTGAGTGTGTTTGCTCAATCAATCACAAATCCGTCTGGTGGTGACATTGTCTATCACAAATCTTACCAAGAAGTAGGCCTTGGTCTACTTTGTCAAAAGCCTTACTGAAGTCTAAGTGTAATACTGTAAATGTATTACAGTATTCTCTGATCCACTAATTTAGTCATTTTATCAAAAAATGCTATAAGGTTTGTCTGGTGTGATCTGTTTTTGACAAACTCAATTGGTTTCTACTAATACAGGGGTGTCAAACTGCTGGCCCGCGGGCCGGATGCGTCATGCCAAAACTGCGCCCACCCCATTGCCGGCAATGGAAAAAAAGTTGTGATACGTAGCGACACGTCACATGATGTTGCGAATTTGACACCTCTGAACTAATACCTTTGCTTGTTTCTAGGTGTTGCTTGATTTGTTGCTTGATTATCTTTTCCAGGATCTTCTTAGTTATTGATGTGAGGCTGATTGTTCTGTAGTTTCCTGGATCCACATTTTTCTCCTTCTTGCAGATTGGAACCATGCTAGCTCTTTCCCAGTCCTCTGGTGGTTCCCCAGTGCTCCAGGATCTTTGAATGATATGGTTCAAATGCACACATTAAACTTTAAAGTAAGATAATACTGCAGGCTTTACAGTTATTTTTCACTTTATAAGAAGATCAGGAAGTCTTGAATGACAAATGAAATAAGTAAAAACTTATTTAAAGTAGTGAGAAACCTGCAATGCATGATCTGAAATTTAAAATTCAGTCCTTGAAGATAAAATGAAGAAAATATCAGCTAGTTGTACTGTTATGCAGAAAGAGGTAAATGATGTTTACTTTGGAATCATTTTGCTTTTGCATGGCATGAAAGAACTGAAAATTATTTTAAGCTGTACTTATTTATGAATTTTTTACTTATAGAGTGTGGCTGTTATGGAAATTTTTGTCTCACACACCAAAATAATTTGGCTCATTTTGATGACAGTTATGCATTTTGACTTGCTGTTCTGTCTTAGGTACAAATTGATTGTAACTAGGCCCTGAGGACAAGGCCTGTTTTCAAAAACCATGTGGGCCACTGAATAGTGTTCCTCTTCTTTTTGTAATGTCTTTAGATATAAATATCAAATAACAAAACCAAACCCTTTGAACTCAGTCAACTTTTATGTTTACTCCAAGTATACTGTATAATGAGGAAAACTGAAACTGTACCTATAGCAAAGAACAGGAGTCCAGAAAAATGGGTCTTTTATGTAGAGGTACTCCTTGACTTATGATGGCAATTGGGACCAGAATTTCTGTTGGTAGGTAATGTAGTTATGAAGTGCAACTGCATCATTTAGTGACAGCAATCCCTTCAGCTCTGGTTGCCTTTGTTAACAAATCCCATGGTAGAATAGATTAGAGCTGGAAAGGACCTTAGAGGTCTTCTAGTCCAGCCCTCTGCTCAAACAGGAGAATCTATACCATTTCAGACAAGTGGCTGTCTAGTCTCTTCTTAAAAATCTCCAGTGATGGAGTGCCCACGATTTTTGGAGGCAAGCTGTTCCACTGGTTAATTGTCCTCACTGTCAGGAAGTTTTTCCTTAATTCCAGGTTGCTTCTCTTCTTGGTCAGTTCCCAACCATTGTTTCTTGTCCTACCTTCTGGTGCTTTGGTGAATAGTTTGTGCCCTCTTCTTTGTGGCAGCCCCTCAAATACTGGAAAACTGTTATCATGTCACCCCTGTTTCTTCTTTTCTTTAGACTAGCCAAACCCAAGTCCTGCAGCTGTTCTTCATATGTTTTAGTCTCCAGGCCTTGGATCATTTTAGTTGCTCTTCTCTGAACTTTTTCCAAAGTCTCAACATCTTTTTTTGTTGTATGGTGACCAAAATTGGCTGCAGTATTCCAGGTGTGGTCTTACTAGGGCTTTATAAAGCAATACTAATACTTTGCGTGATCTTGATTCTATACCTCTGTTTATACAACCCAGGATTGTATTAGCTTTTTTGGTTGCTGCTGTACACTGCTGGCTCATAGTCAAGCGATCGTCCACTAGGACTCCAAGGTCCTTCTCACAGTTACTGTTTTTGAGCCAGGTCTCGCCCAATCTGTACTTGTACTTTTGATTTTTCCTGCCTAAAAGTGAAACTTTGCTTTTCTCCACATTAAAATTCATTTTGCTGGATAGGGTCATTAGGTGAGGCAACTTCCTACTGGCTTCCTATATCCAGGTCAATGGGGAAGCCAGCAGGAAATTGCAAGTCCCAGGTGCTTGCAAACAAAGTGTCTGCTGCCAGGTAGGGGAAGGCAGATGAGGGTGCACAGAACTGTGAGAGAGGTGCAGCAAAAGTTGGGGAAGGTACAGAAAGGTGCAAGCGAGGCATAGTAGGGTTAAGGGAGGATGCAAGAGGCCATGTGAGAGTTTTGGGGCTAGTCATAACCACCATTGGTTCAGTGCTGTCAAGGACTAATTGAATGTGGAAGCTGCAGATTGATATAAAACATATAATCATAGGACTGGAAGGGACCTTAGAAGTCTTCTAGTCCAACCCCCTGCTCAAGGCTGAACACTTTTATACCATCCTAGTTAATTTTTTGTCCAGTCTGTTTTTGAAAACCACTAGTGATGGAGCACCTAAAACTCTGGAGGCAAGCTATTCCATTGCTTAACGCAGACATGTCAAACACAAGGCCCGGGGGCTGGATGCGGCCCGCGAAGTCATTTCATGTGGCCTGCGAAGCCATCCTGGAAACAGTGAGGGAACGGCCCCCACTGCCTTGGTCCTGGCCCAGGCCAGCCAGGACCCAATGTACAATTTTGTGGTGGCCATCTGTGCTGAAACGTATTCAGTCTTAGCTCCACAAGGCCGTCTGGAAACAGCAAGGAACCAGCCCCTGCCATGTCGGCCCCACCCCCCTGGGTGCATACTGGGGAGGTATCACCCTTTGTGAAGAATGAAGAAATGTACCATTGCTTGGAAGTGGCCAGCAAATGGCCCTCACCTACTTCATATATCTGGCATGATTGGCTCCGGTGCGAAGGGTTTCGGCAGGCAGCGGGGCGCTCTTCTCATAGCGCCAAGAGGCTGAGCTGGGCGGTGCGAACCCAAAAAGAAGCACGACACCGCCCAACCCCCAGCTTCCCGGTTTCAGCAGGCAGCGGGGAGCTCTCCTCACAGTGCCAAGAGCTGAGCTGGGTGGCGCAAATGTGATGAGAAGTGCAATACTGTTTAGCCTCCAGCCTGCCCAGTTTCAGCAGGGAGCAAGGTGCAAAGCTGGTGAGCTTCGCACCTCCTAGCTCAACCTCTCGGTGCTGTGACGAAAGCGCCCCGCTGCCTGTCGAGACCGGAGAGGCTGGGGGTTGGGCGTTGTCGTGCTTGTTTTCGGATTCGCCCCACCCGGCTCAGCCTCTCGGCGCTGTGAGAGCGCCCCGCTGCCTGCCGAGACCGGGCAGGCTGGGGGCTGGGCGGCATCGTGCTTCTTTTCAAATTTGCGCCGCCTGGCTTAGCCTCTCGGCGCTGTGAGGAGATTGCCTCACTGCCTGCCGAAACTATGCTGGCTGGGGGCTGGGCGACATTGTGCAGGTAATGTTGACTCTCACGCTGTTCATGGCATCCCCTCCCCCGGAGCCCACCAAGCCAAATATATGAAGTAGGTGAGGGACATGTGTTGGCCACTTCCAGGCGATGGTGCATTTCTTCATTCCTCACAAAGGGTGACACCTCCCCAGCTGCGTTTCTTGCCTGTTTTTCTCCCTCCCTCATCTCAAATATTTTCCTACCACTCTGTACTTAGGAAGGAAGGAAGGAAAGAAGGAAAGAAGGAGAGGGAGGGTCTGAGGGAAGTCCTGCCTTAGTCCTGCCCTGCTGCCCTTTCACCATCCCCTTGCCCCCTCCTCCTGGCCTATCCTGGGGGTCTCCCATCCTATTGCTAAGGAAGCTTCGGATACAAAGCCGGATTTCCTCCCATGGAGAGGGAATGGGCCTCTCTCTAACTTTGCCCTTGTACCCATCATGAGCAACCTGGCTAAGGAGAGCAAGCATAGCAGCAGCAGCCTTGAGGAGGTAAGTGCAGCTGGGCACCCCCTTGGGGAAGTGGGGCTGGGCTTGGTGCCGCAGGTGCTCAAGGGCCAGGCTGGGTGTTTGACCTCTGCTGCCCAGGGCTCCGGGCAGCCCGCACCACCATCCAGCCCCCCCCCCGCATGGCCTGAGAGGAACAGTGAGGCTCCTCCAGTGGACCATACCTTGGCACTTGCCCTGGTCCCACCCCCTTCTGCCAGAGACCCTCAGATCTGTCCCACTCCTGCCCAGGCCCCCACAGGCACCCTTTACGCGAATGATGTAGAGCTGGCCACGCCCATCCAGCAGGCCACACCTCCATCCACGCCCACCCAGTAAGCTGCACCCACCCTGGCCACACCCACTTGGCCCCCCAAGGGCAACCGCAATGCTGATGCGGCCCTCAATGAAATTGAGTTTGACACCCTTTGCTTAACAGCTTAACAGAAAAAAAATCCTTTTAGGTTGGATCTCTCTTTATAAAGCTTCCACCCATTACTTCTAGTCCTGCCCTCAGGTGCTTTGATGAATAAGGCAAACCCCTCCTCCTTGTGACAGCCCCTCAGGTATTGGAAGACAGTCCCCTCTAATCCATCTCTTTGATAGGCTAGACATAGTTAGCTCCCTCAACTGTTCATCATATGGCTTAGCCTCCAAACCCTTTATCATCTTGCTCTTCTCTGCACACTTTGTAGGGTCTTAGCGTCTTTTTTTGTATGTAAAATGACTTAGAGGATTATTTCCAAGATATTAGTACCAAGCAGAAAAAAGTGTAGTGGTTTAACCTGCTTCTGGAAACCTAATAATATTGTTATCTTTGGGTGGGACCATTAATTAGTGTGAAAATGTTGAATTAGATATTTGATGATTGATTATCTTCTCCTCCTCAGGTATTATTGTAATGTATGTGACTGTGTAGTGAAAGATTCCATCAACTTCCTTGATCATATCAATGGCAAAAAACGTATGTATAACATGTTTTTCATTTACTAATTTGATATTATTGTTGTTATTATTGTTGTTGTTGTTGTTATTATTATTATTGATTTAATCTTCAATTCGATTCACAGTCTGGGGCCTGGTAAAAACTTAACAGTTCAAGTTCTAACCAAGGACCTAAGAGCTGTTAAGGTAGCGTCTGAGTATATAGGCAGTTCCGAGTAGAGTGGGTTTTTGCAAAATTGAGATATTCAGGTCTAATAAGTTCAAAATTTCCATGTATCTAGGGAGTCCTTTGGGTATTGCCCCAAGAGCTCTTATTACTATTGGTACAACCATTGATTTCTTTATTATTGTTGTTGTTGTTAATCTTCAATTTGATTCACAGTCTGGGACTGATAAAAACGTAACAGTTCAAATCCTAACCAAGAACCTAAGCGCTATTAAGGTAGCATCTGATTAATATTAATATTATTGATGGTCACACTGTCAGCCAGATGTTTAGACTGGATTTGACATTTTTATACACCCAGGATTTAGGGTAGATGTTGTTGGATGGTGTTAAAGGTATTGTAGCAAAATGTAAACTATTCCAAGTAAAGCTGCCTTTTGCAATTGACTGATTAGTCGGTGCTGATGATATTCAAGTGCTACTTCATATGTTTTGGAATTGCACCCAAGGTGACTATTACTATTGGTACTATATTTATTATTATAATTATAATAAAATAATAATAAAGTTGTCATTATTATTTAAACGTGTATGCAGCCCAGTTCTAAATGATTCAAAGCAGCTCACAACAATAAAAGAAATTATAGTGATTTCCAGCCTGGCTGTAGATCTTTGGCCTTAGTCAATAGATAGCCATCATTTTGTTTGATTGTAAAGTAGCCATGGATGCCAGTGTTTATTCTGTGGGACATAATAGACTTACTAATCTATCTCATACAAAACCAATCCATTGGTTCATCCTGCCCCATTATTGTTTTTCTTGATTCTCAGCGGTTATTAAAGATCTGAGAGACTCCAGTGACTTCTATATGCAATTCATGTATTCCTCTGTTAAGCTAATGGATCTTGGAGTATGGCCTGCAGACCACCAAATTCCAAGAGGTGATCCTCTACAGCTTCCTTATGTCCACCAGTCAAAGATTGATCACTGCCTAAGCCCCACCTCTCTGGCCATGTCAACAGTCTGCTGATGAGAAAGAGCCAGTCTCCATCTCAGCTTCCTCCTTATGAATGTCAGCTGGCAAGAACCCATTATTATCTTAATATCTCACAGAGCATGATGGATCAGTGGCTGAAAATGAATTAATAAAACATATAGTAGCATTGTTTAGAAAGCCACAGAGATTACCTGGGAGAAAGGTAATCTATACAGATTACAGAAAGGACTTCAATAACATGTACACAAACATGCTATATATATGGGAAACAAAGATAACATAAGCAATTTCAGATTGGTTCTGCCCCAATTTCCTGGAGTATAAGAGGGAAGGAAAAGAAAATGCTTTCAAGATTCTGTTACTATAGCCTATATCAATAAAGTAATTTTAGTCAAATTTAGGAAATTTGCTTTCTTGACTGGTTTATCTTAAAAGGCTGACATATCATAAATATTAAAATGTGAAAAAATTGATAAGTGAACAAATTTCAAGTGCAGTTACCATCTGAGTATATATGCTGTGTTGCGGTTTTTCACAAGCACCCTCCCAAAAGAAGGTGTGATTAGGAAATATAGTGATGGTTATCTAAAATTGGGATTGTATTTGCCCTTAGATCCTTAGTACTTTGAGAGTTCTGTTGCAGAATATTCTGAACTAGCAAATGTGTGTTAAATGTTATGATATGGCATACGTGAAATCATTCAAGTGAAAAATGAGTGTTTTTCTGGATTATTGGTACAAAATCTTAAAAGGACTTTAAAAATGGAGAAGATAGGAAGGCTTAAGTAAATGCAACAAAAATAATTATCTTTATGAACTCCCTTGCTCAGATGAAAATGTAAGGAGTGGTTTGTTTGTTTGCTTGATTGGATAGCATCCAAATTTTTGGAATGTTTATATAGTGTTCAACAATTGTAGAAGCTGAAGAGCAGTGCATTAAATAAACATTTGTTGCTGCTTTCTGTGTCAGATATAGTTCATGATGTAGGTTTTAACATATAGAATTCCTTGCAACTATTTAGTAAGCAAGCAGTTGATTTTACTCCTCCAATTTTGCCATTCTAGGGGTTTTTCCATATATCTAAGAAAACACATTTTTTACTCCAACAGATAGAAACGTATTCTATTCTGCTGCTTCCGTATTATTTAGTGGCCCAACAAAAAAAAGGCACAATAGTTTTAAGTTTTTAGTCTTGATTGATTGAAAAAGGAGCATCCTTTTTATTATATAATGTACAGGTGACCTTTTTCAATATTGAGGCATTTATTAACTACTTGAAATTTGAATGCTATGTTGATCATTTGTTTAACAATCATTTGAAATTATGACAGTACTTGAAAAAGTGACTCAGTCCTTGCACTTATAATTGTTGCAGCATCTTCAATGTCACATAATTGAAATTTGGGCACTAATTTACGACTGTTTCCACATTCTGGTGTCATGTGAACACCATTTTCAATCTTCCTAGGAGTCATCCAATGAGCAAAGCCAATGGGGGAAGCCAGATTCATTTAATAACCATGTGATCTGTTTAACAATTGTGGTAAAAAAAGGTTGAAAAACTGGTGCAATTCACTTAATGATTGCATCACTTAGCAATGGAAGTTCTACCCCCAGTTGTGGTTGTAAGCTGAGGACTACCTGTAGTCCTTTGCCAGTACATCCTGGAATCCTAAAATCCTACAATCTTTACAGGTAATACTTAAAGGGCTTGATATAAAATGTTCTCTTTTTCATCCATTCTTTCCCCTAAACCCACTTTCAGACTTTAATTTTAGGATGTCTGCACGTGAACATCAAATGGAAAAAGGCCATAGAGAGGCTTCCTCTGTATACTATATCTTTATCTACTATCCATCACTCCCCAAGTTCCTCCTGTAAGATGATGCTGTGGAGAGAACAGGCCTCTGTCTATCATGAGCCATTCCACACAAATTGCTTGAGAGGAAAACTCCATGAGTTGTGGAGAATGATCTCTGGTTTTTTTCTGTAGTAATAGTCTCTGACCAATATATCATGGCCTACGTGAGCTCATCTGCTCTTGCACCAGAACTTCCCATTCAATTTCTTTTCCAGCTCCCTCCCCATACACTACACAACAGATCTTCAGTGAAAGTTTTTCTGACCCATCCCGCAGGTATTGGGAGCGGTGAGTGAGAAGAACCTTGTTTGAGCCCCTGGATTGTTTCCTCTGCTCACCAATTGCTCAATCTCCCATGAGAAAGAACAAGAGAGAAGGACAGATCAAGAATCTGCTTCGGTTACCTATCTGCTGCTCACCATTAGGTCAATTGACATAATTTAGTGATTTTTGTCGTCATATTTTTCATTGTAATTTCATTTGACTCCTTTAAGATGGAATATTAATAAACATAGTACATTTCCAAGTAATGCTGTTTTCTTTTTTCACATTCTTATGTGCCTGACTTTACCACTGGTTTTTGCCTTAATAAATCTTAAATGTCAGGATGTTTTGCTTTTGAATTATTCAATACTGTGCCATTTATAAACTCATTCTGCTGTTTAATAATTGCACATTTACTTGCAATAAATGTAGAGAATTGTGAATGGTAAAGATGGAAAGCCCCCATAAGTAAAGAGAAAGCAAACACAATATTATATCCATATGTTTATGTTAGCTAGATCAGTACAATTACTGATTAAAAGCTGATTTTTTGGTAGAAATTTAATCCAACTTTCCTGTCAATACAGAAGCCACAGCACAAGCAAAAGAGAAAGAACCCTGATTGCATTTCATACTATGGAGAACATAGAAATATATTAGCTGACAGAAATAGATGAGATGTAATAATAGCCCTGCTGGCTTAGGCCAAGAATCAACATGTGTATCACACATTCACCCATCTGATTCTTTCAGAAACTTCACAATCATGGCTGAGAGGGCAATAGTTCTTTTCACTGCTCTTCCTGAGTAGTTGGTATTTAAGCCATCCTGCCCATAGTTTCAAAACTAGCAAGCTGCCTCAAGACCATTGATAACTTGTCCCTCCATAGACATTTGTCTGGTCCCCTTTTAAAACCATTTAAATAGCTAACCATCATATTTATTATCAGCAAATTCTAAACCTGAACTATACGTTGTGTAAAAAAATATTTCTTTTTATTGATCTTGAGCCTCTCTGTATTTAATTTTAATAGAAGACTGCCATTATAAAAGGGAGAGAACAGTATCTTATGTCTTCACTTTCCACTCGTATATGGTTCTATATATCCTTGCCCTATTTCCTCTTGTTCCCTCTTCCCAAAGAACTAAAAAAAATCCAAAAGTTATAGTCTTTACCTCAGCCTCCTACAAGGGGCAAGATTGGAATTCTCATACATCATTTCCAAGAAACTCTTTGGGTTTACACATATTGGCCCTGCATTCCTGCCTCGGTGTAATGAATTGGTAGCTACTGGTACTGTCTTACAGGGGAATGCTTTACCTGATACCCTAACCCAGTGGTTCTCAACCTTTTTAATGCCGCGACCCCAACCGGTCGTAAGTCGAGTACTAAACCGGTCGTAAGTCGAGGACTAAACCGGTCGTAAGTCGAGGACTACCCAACCGGTCGTAAGTCGAGGACTTTCCCTGCCCGGGAGCGCCGCGCATGTGTGGTTCCACCCCCTGCGCCGGCCGAGGCATAGCTGGCAAGCGGCAGAGACAGAGCAGGCCGACCACCAGCTGGCCCAGCCCAAGCGAGGTAAGGCACCCGCCAGAAAAGGGGAAAAAAATGGTGGACAAAAAAATGGCGGACAGACAGCCTTGCTTGGCGACCCCCGTGAAATGGTTGATCGACCCCAAATGGGGTCCCGACCCACAGGTTGAGAACCACTGCCCTAACCTCTGTGTA